AGCTTAAGCTCACCTTTTATGCATGAGGCCCATTGTTTCAACTCCCCCTCTTAAAGAAAGTGTGAGGAAGTTTACTGAGGAGCTTTCCCCGCGCATTACATGGATAGCGAGGAGGAAAGCTGCCCACTAATATCATCGTATGTAAAAAATTAAATTAACTGTCTGACGAAAGCTAATGCTTCCATGATTCTTTGGAAACTGCAAAGCATGCATGGAGGAATGTTTCCCTTTTCTAGAGGGATATGTCGGAACTAAATACTAATAAGGCATTCGCTCACTCAGTAATGGGGGGAAAGATTGTCGTATGTTAATTTCGGCTGGTTGTGGGAGATCGCGATTGAAGTTTGGAATGCAATTTCTCAAAAACGCAAAGTCCCAAGTCTCTAAAAATATTACTAGTTCACAAAATTCGTAAATTATTTAATTTTTAATGTTAATTATTAATTAGTTTTGAATTTATGAAGGATTTCCTTTAGTAAGATTTTGCCATAAGCGTCATTTGTCCACAATTTGGCAGCCACTTTGTATGAAATGCGAAAAATTGTGATCAAAATTTCTACTAAATTAACGACACTTTTTACTCAATATCTCGGAAACTAAAGGAGATATGCGAAGACTGATAACACCAATCGAAAGACCTTATGTAAAAATATATAACTGCATCTAGAACTAAAAATCGTCAAAATTGCGCTTACGACAATCTATTGCCCAGGCGACGAGGTGGGTTATGGTCTGATTATGCATACTTCGCATAAGTTCGCACAACTTCGCATAAACTTCAAACTGTAATTTCGTATGTACTTTGTATCTAATTTGTATGTATTCCATTACCCAGAAATTAGCAGAACTTTTAAAAACTTAGCGATCTGTTGAGTTTAGATTTTGCTTCACATTTTCTTAAGTTACATTTTTATTGCACTGGTACAAATGGTTGTGCGAAGTTATGCGAAGTATGCATAATCAGACCCTTACTAACACCTTTGCGTTTATGTTTGCTTTTCGGTCACACTGAGTTTGCCGGGTATACGCATGCGTACGTTTGACAGATAAGTAGAATATACAAGGTCTTATGACAGCAGCTAAGTTGAACCTACGCATGAAACGTATTTTGACTTCTATCCGTAAATTTCAAACGCACTCATATAAATATACATACATATACCTACATTCGCATGCTATAAAGGACCGCTTTTGCAGATACTTTCTCAGTTTTAAGATTTTAATATTAAATTTACATTGAATGAAAGGCTATTGCATAAATAAATATATGAAGGTAATACGTATATACCTTGAATTTCTTTCGACATTTGGTTTACTTTACAAAGGAAAGAACAAAAAACTCGAATCTAAAAATCTACGGGTACAAAAGCAAATAGCAAATGAGGAACATTTATTTCAAGAAATTGACTCTTGTAAAACTTTCAGAGGCAAAAGAAATTTAATAGAATTTTTCTCATCATTGTAAATGGATTCCGATGGCTTTTCGCATTTTTGTTGAGTCGATTTTTATTCTTTAAATTGATTAATTACTTGGTATAAGTGCAGAATACGTACATTTCTCTGATTAAAAATAAATTTATATTTCGATCGATAGAGGTGTTAGTCCTAATCATAACGGTATTACTGGCGTCATTGAAGGTCAAGGAATCAATTTCTCAATTTCTCTTAATTGGAATAACTAAAAAAAAGGAACAGTCCAGCGCCTTCGTCTTGGTCTGCAGGCTGTA